TTGCCTTTGAAATAAAAACAAAGAAGATCAGGCCTCAGGACCTGCACGCTCACGGACGTGGAAGTTGTGGACTGCTCAGGAAAGGGATTTGGGAATGTGCATGGCTGGACCACTACGAGAGTGCACCGCAAGGAATGACTTGTGGGGGAATTCCATGGATCAGGTAAGTAACGGAGTCGAGACTGAGTGGTGTGGAGGAGGGGAGCCAGAGGACTTGTCTGGGTCAGACCAATGCACCTGCTCATGTGGGAGGTCTGAGCTGGGCTAGAGCCAAGTCTGGGAGAAGACTCCGTGTGGCAGGTATGTGGGCCCATCCCTGTGGAATTACAACATGAGCTGCTTTGCTCAAGGGCTGGGGTGCTTCCAGGCCAAGTTAGGTATGACCATGGAACTCACCGACACTCATGGGCACTGAGGCTGACAACAGGCCAGACTGGTCCAGGCTGCAGCACCTGCAGAACAAGGGTGTATGGGGGCTGGGCCACAATATTAACCAACACTCACAAAGGCCTAGCTGGGTAGGCAGACCATGCTGGGTACGGGCCTATCATCTGCTGCCATGTGTGAGATCTCAGCCTGGACAACTTGGGGGACTCCCCCACAGGGCTGTAGTTGCTGCTGCTGAGTACCTGAGTAAAGGCTGGGTGTTGGCCAGGATGGGTAAGGCTGACCCACTTGTCAGATGTGTGGGCTGGCTTAGAGTGGACAGGAGCCAAGATGGGGTGTAGGCAATATGGACTAGGCTACTACACTTACTGGTTTGTATGAGAGCCCAGAAGGAGTGTAGGCTGGGCAGGCCTAAGCTGCAGCACTCATTGGCAGTAGCTGGGACTGCAGAATCCAATGGCAAGCACCAAGATGGGGCAGGGGAGGCCTTACAGGCTGCTTTGGAACAGCCACTGACATGCGCAGGGTTTGTTAGGGGAGCTAAGCGAGTGCCTGTGCTGTGCTGTGGTCTCTGCTAGTGAGCATGAGAGCCAAGAATGGGGGTGGGCTGGACATCACCTGGCATGCGTGTGTGCTGAGCTAGGCTCAGAGTGGGTGTGGGATGGACTAGGGGGTCATGATGGTCCACTTGGGCCTGCAGGGGACATCGGGTGCCATGTCAGAGAATGGAGAGCAGAAAGGGTTGGACAGCTGACCTGGCCAAGCTTTGGCAGCCAGTGGGTGAGTGAATGTACTAGGGTGGACTCTGCAGCCAGTGACCCTTGGAAGAATCTTCTCAACCTGGAAAGCAGCGGAACCAAGAGCGGCTCAGAATCGCTGAACGCACTCGGGCCACACCTTCAGAGCAGTCTTCATCACAGCCTGGGTCTCTAAGATGGCGCCAATGGACATTCCCCCAGCCGGAGATGCTGGTGTGGTGTGGCAGCTGGGACCACTTCCCTCCCCACTTAGCCAGTGGTCTTCATGGGTCATCTTTGTGAACATCAGCCACTTCAATATCACCATCCTCCTCCTCTGACACTCACGCTTTTCAGATGCTGGACTGACCTTACTGCCTCTCCTTTTCTGGGAGGGTAGGGGTAAAATTTAGACATTAGAGAGCTGGAAAGCCACTCCTTTCAGCTTTTCAATGTGTTCCGTTTGTAGTGGATATATACACAAAACATGAAGCAAGCAGAAATAACCGCATCTTTCCTCCATGTCTGTTTTCTAGATGTTCACCGCTTGAAACCGCGTGTTCTTTGCAAACACGGCATCTTGAGTCTCCGAGGAGCCTGTGACTACGGCCTCTGCTTCCTTTGCGAAGAGCCTGTTTCCTGCAAGTTACTGATTCTTCCTGCTCGCCTGCGTTTGTCTCTGTCCTTGTCCTGTCTGCTGGCCTTGACTGCTCCTACTTAAGGATGTGGCACTAACTGGCTCATGCAAACTGTGTGACCTTGACCATGGCTGGCCTGGGTCCTGGGGGAATCCTCATTTTCCTTCTGCATCTGAGCAGACACCTCAGAAAAGTTATTGCAGTCTTGTGAATGGAGGACCCTTCCTGTGTGCCAGGGTTCTGCAGGCAAAGGGTAAAGCCCAGGAGTCTACACATTGCCCTCTGTCATCAACTTGTGCTTAATCCAGCATGCTGATTGGTCTTCAGCGGCAGCGGGCATCTCGCAGCAGGTGTTCAGTGTTGGGGGTTGAGGACAGGGAAGCAGTATGCCTTAACGGTTGGTTCCAACAGTGGCGGGGCCTGAAGACATGGCACGCGGATCTGCTCCTTTCCAGGGCTCTGGCTCCTGTGTCTAACTGCATTCCACCGAAGCATGAGTCATCCGGTCAGACATCAGTTCTAATGGAGATTCAGGTGGGCAGCTGCAGCCTCACGCTCTGCGGGTGCCAGGTGGCCAGGCGCAGCTCCCCTGTGGATCGGGAGGAAGAAAGAAATCAGTTAGGGAGCTGCTAATCTCTACCCCAACAGCTGGAGGATGGAACTCCAGCCCGGAGGAAGGAAATTCTGAATGTGAACACAAAGCCTTCTGCGGCTGGACTCGTGGACTCTGGGAACAGCAGTGGGCACACAGCTTCCAGCTCCTGGGGGGTGTGGCACTTATTGGACCCCCAAAATGGCAGTCTCCGTTCAGCCCTTTATGTAGGATGGCTCCAGGAAGTGAACAGGCTTCCTAGATGGTGGTAGCTCAGGAAAAGAAGCCAGCAAAGCAGAGGATTTCTCATTCTTTTTCTTCTGTTTTTCAAAGATTTATTTATTTTGGGCCTGGTGCAATGGCTCAATGGCTAAATCCTCACCTTGCTTGCACTGGGACACCACATTAGCACTGGTTCATGTCCCGGCTGCTCTACTTCCCAACAAGCTCCCTGCTCGTGGCCTGGAAAAGCAGTCGAACATGATCCAGAGCCTTGGGACTCTGAACTTGCGTGGGAGACCCAGAAGAGTCTCCTGGACCCTTGCTTCGGATTGGCTCAGCTCTGACTGTGGTGGCCACTTGGGGAGTGAACCAGTGGATGGAAGAGCTTTCTCCCCGTCTCTCCTCTCTGTAAATCTGACCTGTCTTTCCCATAAAAAGAAGCAAATCTTTGAAAAAAAAGGAGATTTATTTTTATTGAAAAGCCAGAATTCAGAGAGACAATGAAAGATAGAGATCCTCTGTCTGCTGGTTCACTCCCCAAGTGGCTGCAACAGCTGAGGCTGAAGCCAGAAGCTAAGATCTTCTTCTGGGTTTCCCTTGCAGGTGTAGGGTCCCAAGGCTTTGGGCTGTCCTGACTGCTTTCCCAGGCCACAGGCAGGGAGCTGGAAGGGAAGCGGGGCTGCTGGGATTAGAACCGGCGCCCATATGGGATCCCAGGCGTGCAAGGCGAGGACCTTTAACCACTTGCGCCACCACGCCGGGCCCCACATTTCTCATTCTTACCAGTTACTGGGAAGAGCTGGCCAGTTGCCCCCCTGGGTCGTCAGGGCTCCCTCGGCCCCAACAGCCTAAGCTGCGACTTCCTCTTTGCCTTAAGTTGCTGTGAGAGCAAGAAGCAAAACACAGAAACAAAAACCCACCTCTTATGTTGCCAGTCCTTTACAGTGTAAGTATATTCTAAGTATTATTTACATAAATACATGTAAATATATGCAAATATATTTGCGGGGGAGGATTAGTCAAGTGAGCCTTCAGGCTGGGCCCACTTTTTTTTTTTTAATATTTATTTATTTTTATTGAAAAGTCAGATATATAGAGAGGAAGATCTTTCGTCAAGGACTTTAGCCACTAGGCTATCCTGCCTGGCCAAGCTGGGCCCTCTTTTAAAGGACCATTTTCCTATTGTTGCATATTAATTTCAAGCAGCTTTGTAATCAAAAGCTTCCTGTCTTAGGGCTCACACAAAAACCAAGGTAAAAGTTAAAGAGACTACTTGACCAGCTAGATGGCTCAACTGTTAAAGGGAAAGCAGAGGCGACCACCTGCAAGTGCCAGGATCCCATATGGGGGCCGGTTCTAATCCCGGCAGCTCCACTCCCCACCCAGCTCCCTGCCTGTGGCCTGGGAAAGCAGACGGCCCACAGCCTCGGGACCCTGCACCTGCATGGGAGACCCAGAAGAGGCTCCTGGCTCCTGATCAGCTCAGCCCTGGCCACGGCAGCCACTTGGGGACTGAACGAGCAGATGGAAGCCGTCGCTGTAAATCTGCTTTTCCAATAAAAAGAAATGAATGTGGAAAGTTTAGAATACTGAATAAAGCTCTGCATAAAACCGATGCCAAACCCCATCACGTGGAGAGGCCGCCATTCTTATCCCTAGGTTCCTTTCCGGTGACTTCTGAATTTGGGTTTCTGATCTTAGATTTACTAACAAGTCAAAAGATTTGGCCTCTTTTACGGCCACGCAAATTTGCCAGCTTCCGTACCTAGCACCGAGTCTTACTTTTCAAACGCGAAATGTGTGCCAGGAGTCCCCTAAGGACACAGGTTCTATTTTATTCCTCCTCAAAACAAATGCATTAAGTTTGCAGAGATGATAGAGAAAAACGAAGCAAATCAAAAAACCAAGCCGTAGAGTCCGGGACGCCGCGCTTCTCCCTTAAAGCAGCGGCTCACGTGGTGGCAGGCGCGCGCACGGGGGAGCTGCACGCCCTTCCTCCAGAAGCGCGCCTCAGGCTTCTGGCGTTCCCTCTCCGGCAGCCGCAACTCCTCTGCAGACTCTTCTTCATTCCCATTGTCACCTCCGCTCACTTCCCCGCCGTTAGGCGCCGGCCCTGGGCCCTCGCTACAGCTCCCCGCGGCTGACAGAATCCCACCTCCCGGAAGGGAAGGCCGGGGAATCAAACCAGAAAGACTACAACTCCCAGGGCGCCGCGGGGCGCGCCTCGCCCGCGCGCGGTGCAGGCCGGGGCCGCGCGCCGTCCGGAGCAGGCGCACTGCGGGCGCCGGCCAGGCCGGGGCGGGGCGCGCCGGCGGAGGCGGGGGGCGGGCGCCGAGGCGATGGAGGGGCGGGCTGGGGGCATGGGGGAGGGCCGGGAGGTGGGAGGCGGGGCCGAGCCGGAGCCGGAGGAGCCCGAGCCGGCGGCGGAGGCGGTGATGTCGGTGCAGGTCGTGTCGGCGGCGGCGGCCAAGGTGCCTGAGGTGGAGCTGAAGGATCTGAGCCCGTCCGAGGCGGAGCCGCAGCTGGGACTGAACCCCGCGGCCTTGAGCGCCATGGTGCCCCCGGCGGGCGGCGGAGACCCCGAGGCTCCGGCTCCCGCGGCCGCCGCGGCCGAGCGGCCCCCGGCCCCCGGCCCGGGCTCGGGGCCCGCCGCCGCCGCGCTCAGCCCTGCCGCCGGGAAGGTGCCCCAGGCGTCGGCCATGAAGCGGAGCGACCCGCATCACCAGCACCAGCGGCACCGCGACGGCGGCGAGGCCCTGGTCAGCCCCGACGGCACCGTCAGCGAGGCGCCGCGCACCGTCAAGAAGGTACTGGGGCCGGGCCGCCTCTCGCCGAGAGCGAGGAAGGGAAGCCGAGGGCGCGGCGGCGGCACCCTGCACGCCCTGCCTGCCGATCGCGGAGCCGAGCGCCTCCAACCACCGCCACCCGGCCTCCGGGCGGCTCGGAGGGGCATGGGGGGAGCGCTGGACTCGGAGTGGGGCGTCTCCGGGGAGGGGACCCCGCTGTGTGTGTAGGTGGGGCCGGGGGAGCCTTCCGGGTTAGGGGAGAGTTGGGGTGCCTTCCGCGCGGATGCTGACTTTCCGGCGCCTGGGGGCCGGGCGCTTCCAGAAAGCTGTGCCGCTCCTTGGCAGCTCTGGAAGAGCTCAGAGCTTTGAACGTAGGAAGAGATCTCTGCGCTCTGGCTTGTCCTCCTTGTTCAGGGGCTGGTCAGCAGGATGGTCAGGCTGCGTAGGAAGAGAATGCCTCCTTGGTTCCTTTATCATCTGCAAATGTCAGGGAGCAGCGCTGCTTTTGAGGGAGGTTTGGCAGGAGACGGCAGGGGTTTCTGAGCTGTCAGCTTCTTGTAGGCAGTTTTTTTTTTCAGTGGGGAAGCTCAAAACTCCCTGGAGAAAGTGTCCCTGGGTGTGCGACGGGTCACCAGTCCCACGGTGCCCACGCTTTCCCTGGAGAGCCCCAGCAGCACGGAAGGGCGAGTGCTGAGGAGGGGAGGGTGTCCCTTGGAACGGCAGTGTGGCGAGGCGCGAGCCGTGATGCGTGTGACTTGAAGTGATTCCTCGGAACCACTAGGGTCGGGCTGTGCGCTGGGCCTGCGCTTGGCTGAGTGGGAGCCTTGGGCCCAGCCACGGTCCCTTGGCTCAGCTCTGTGCTTTCATCGCAGCCACTCCACAGAGGTGAGAAGCCAGACTGCTGATTTCACGGTGCTCTAGGGCAGTAGCCTTGTAGTAGGGAACTTCTGGAGAGATTATGGTCCGAAGAGGCAGCCTGGCACCCGGAGTCCGCAGGTGTGGCAGAAGCCTGGTGCAGGTGTCTAGTTAGTTGCATTGTAGCTTCAGTCAAACCTTTTTCTCGTGATTAAGAATCTTTTTGTCTAAAATCTGTAATTTTCTTAGATCTCCTAAGGGCAAAAGCATTTCTCAGATTGCTTCTAAAGGATTGAATTCACAGTCAAGGCAGATCTGGGTTCCAGTCGTGTGCCTCCCACAAACCCTCTTAGGTAAAGTGGGACACATACTGAGCTTGTTACACATGCCAGAGCCTTAGGAAGTGGCAGCTAGCATTGATCAGGATGACTATTATTCCATTAGGGCTTGGGGGCATGCCACCTTGACTTCTGAAAGATGCACACAGTTCAGGAGGTTCTAGAAAAGAAGTTGAACGTCACGGGCCATCATGCCAGACTATTGGTCTTAGTTCTATACATGCTTCTTGATTCTTGACCGTTTTCTTCCTTGCTGAAGCACTTCATTCTTGTTTTTTTTTTTTTTTTTTCCCAGCATCTAAATGTGTGTTCTGTGATGCTGGGTTTACTCAGCAGCCTCAAGGCTGTGGGAGACAGGGCTGAGCTTGCCTTCAGTGTTAATTGCATATGTGCACACCAAAACAAAACAAACCTCACTTCTTTGCGGAAAGCTAAGTAGCTGAAGCTGTGGGCAAGGATGCAGCTGCCTTGCCACGCGGAAGGGTGAGGGGCGTGGCTGAACCTCTGCTTGGGCCTCGTGACCCACTGGCTGGATGAAAACGTGCTTTCCTCAAGTTCAAAGTCACCTCACCAGCCGACTGCATTGTGACATTTTGATCTGTTGGGCATTTCCTGTCTATTTCAATCATCATTCTGACCTTGACTCCCTTCTGCTTTTACTTTAGTGTGTGGGGAATCTGAGGGGACTGGACTGGAATCGCCTCCTTGGGCTAGGTGACTGTTGGCTGTTATTTTTATTTTGCAGTTGTCATGTGCAAACCTGTAGAAGTCAAGTTTTCTTTGCTGCTTTTCCATGCTGGTATTCCTGCATCTGCCGGCAGCTTCCTTGGTCTCATACTCTGCTCAGCCAGATGTGGGAAGTAAGCCCTTTTTCCGGAGAACCAGAATTCCCAAGTGCGAGTTACTCAGTTGCACATTTGGTGCTTGTTTCCATCTTGTAACTCACTTTGCCCTGGAGTTGGATCTTGTCCTTGTAGCTGTGAAACAGGATAGTTATTCACAAAGTTTGTGAAAAAATGGAATTTTTAATGTATTGTTTTAGATTGATTTATTTGAAAGAATTACAGAGGGAAAGGAAAGGAGAGAAAGGTCTGTGATGCTTCACGCTCCAAGTGGCTGCAGTGGGGAGGTCTGTCTGCCGGAGCTGGGAGCTTCCTCCAGGTCCCACATGGGTGCAGGGGCTCTGGCCCCAGGGCCATCTTCGCTGCTTTCTCAGGGCGTTAGCAGGGAGCTAGATCAGAAGTGGAGCGACTGGGGCGTGAACTGGCTTCACAGTTGAGAACTAGATGTGCTGTGTCACAATGCCAGCCCCGGCAAAAATGGAATTTATTGGAAAGTTGTAGTGCAGAAATGTTGAAATTCATGTATAGTTTTTTCTTATTACACATTTTTCATGAACTTTTTGAAGGCTTCTCACATTTATGTAGAATGTGCCTTGTAACTCACATTAAATGAGTTTGCCAAGCCAAACATTTCTGTGAAAATAATTTGTGAAATGGGAAAATAAGGTTCACTGTGAAGGCCATAACCAGGACTGAAGGTATTTCTTGTGTTGTGGAAAATGGAGAATAGGCGTGTCACAGCACAGCAGGAAAAGCATGGTAAGACAGCATCTTCTAGAATGCAGGTTGGGATAGTAACGCTCAGGCCTGAGGGCCTTACCTCGTGTGCTCCTTGGGTGCCGTCGGGGGAGCTGCGTTAGCACTTTCTTGCCCTGAATTGTTTAATCTCTGTTCCGGTTAATGACACATTACCTCATTGGACTGTCTTGGTGGTAGGCATGGGCCTGTGCCGGAGCAGCATGCCTCCTTTGCTGGTTAAAGTACAGTCTTGCAGAGTCAGGAAGGCACTTGGCGCTTGGGCGCTTCATAGTTACCATTCATTGACCTTTAATGAGCCAGTAATTATCATAGACCGTTCTGAAATCCTGAGAATTCTAGGAGATACAGGTTAAAAATGATTATATTTGAAAGGCAGAACAGGAGAGAGAAAGAGAGGGAGAGAGAGAACGTTGCTCCGTCTGATGGTTCACTCCCCAGTTGCCACAATAGCCAGGGCTGGTGTAGGTCAAGCCAGGAGACTAGCATCCAGTCTCTGGTCTCCCACACACTGGCAGAGACCCAAGTATTCAAGTTGGCATCTGCTGCCTCCCAGGATGCCCATCAGCAGGGGGCTGCATTGAAAACGCAGTAGCGGGGACTTGAACAGGCACTGTGGTGTGGGAGGCGGGCACCCCGTACAGTGCCTATCCTCATTGTCTATGTACTGTAGATGAGGAGGTGAACTTTAGAGAGGTCCCATGCCTTCTCCAAGGTTACATGTGGGGACAGTGGCAAGGTAGTGTTTGAACCCACATCTGTTTCCAAAGCCCATGGGCTTTTCCTTGTACTATGTCTGTTTTTGATTTTTTTTTTTTCTAACTGCTTGGATTGCTGAGTTATGACCTTCTCTCAGAAGTTCTTGAAACTACTAAGTTAAGTCTAATATGTTTTGGCTAAGGCTTAGGTCATCATAAGACCAAGGTTAAAGAGAATATGAGGGGCCTAGTGGAGTAGTCTGGTGGCTAAAGTCCTTCCTTGCATGCACTGGAATACCATTTGGGCACTGGTTAATATTCCAGCAACTCCACTTCCTGTCCAGCTCCCTGCTTGTGGCCTGGAAGAACAGTAGAGGATGGCCCAAAGCCTTGGGACTCTGTTCCCACAGGGAAGACCCAAAGCTCCTGGCTCCTAGCTTTAGATCGATTCAGCTCTGGCTATTGCTGCCATGGAGGGAGTGACCCAGTGAATGGAAGATCTTTCTCTCTGTCTCTCCTCTCTGTGAAATCGACTTTCTAATAAAAATAGATCTTTTTTTTAAATGATTTATTTATTTTTATTGAAAAGTCAGATATACAGAGAGGAGGAGAGACAGATGATGATTTAGTCCCCAAGTGACCGCAATGGCTGGAGCTGTGCCGATCTGAAGCCAGGAGTCAGGAACTTCTTCCAGGTCTTCCAAGTGGGTGCACGGTTCTAAGGCTTTAGGCCGTCCTCCACTGCTTTCCCAGGCTACGAGCAGGGACCTGGATGGGAAGCGGGGCTGCCGGGATTAGAAGCAGTACCCATTTGGATCAAAGAGAGGACTTTAGCTGTTAAGCTACCACACTTGGTCCATTTAAAAAAAAAAAAAAAAAGAATACGAGTCAGCTTTAGGAAGCGATCAGAGTTGTACAAATGTAGAAGTTCAAAGAATTGTGAAATCAGGAGAGGGTACGAAGACCACCTTCTGAAATGTCAGGGCTGCCGCCTCCAACTAGCACTTAAACACAACTAAGAAAAATCATCCCATTTTAAAGGTCATAAAGAAGTCTAGTGTACCTGAGGAATAGAATTGGTGTTCCTGTTCAGCTAACACATTTGCCCTGCTAAGTTCCACTTTCTGTAAGACTCAAACTCTGATGAAGTTTTTGCAACTTTCGAGGGGAGTGTACTGCTCTGTGCTCTCCTGGCATACTAGGCTTTGTGCTCAGAGCAGTACTTGCACTGTGTTATGTAATGCTTTGAGGAGCCCTCAGAGATAGTCTTATCCTTGTTTTATTGAAGAAGTAGGTTTGAAGGCCTGGCATGGTAGCCTAGCGACTAAAGTCCTTACCTTGCACGCACCAGGATCCAATTTGGGCAGTGGTTCTAATCCCAGTGGCCCTGCTTCCCATTCAGCTCACTGCTTGTGGCCTGGGAAAGCAGTTGAGGATGGCCCAAAGCCTTGGGACCCACATGGGAGACCTGAAAGAGGCTCCTGGCTTAGCATCAACTCAGCTCTGGCTGTTGCGGTCACTTTGGGAGTGAGTATTGGACAGAAGATCTGTCTCTTTTCCTCTCTATATCTGATTTTCTAATAAAAATAAATAAATAAAAATCTTTAAAAAAAAAAGAAATAGATTTGGAGAGATGGAGAAATTTATTTCATGGCTTTATAGTATTGTTGTGGCAGAACCCTTAAGTGATTTGGCTCCAAAGCCCCAAACTCTTGCTTTTTGAGTCATGCGTATCTTTGTTCAAAACTTAGGACTGAACCTTTTAAACATATTTTTAAAATCTGTTTTAAAAATATTATTTATTTATTTGAAAAAGTTACAGGGAGAGAGGAAAGATTTCATCTGCTGGCTTACCTCCCAGATGGCTATGATGGTCAGGACCGGGCTAGGCCTGAACCAGGAGTTGGAAGCTTCATCCCGGTCTGCCATGTGAGTGGTAAGGGCCGTCTCCCGCTGCTTTCCCAGGTCGTTAGCAGGAAGCTGAATTGGAAGTGGAGCAGCCAAACTTGAATTGGCACCCGTGTTGGATGCTCATGTGCGATGTCACGATGCCAGCCCCTTGAATCTTCATTTATCTTAGTTCTTGTGCATTTTTTGGTTAGTGCACCTGGCGAGCAGTTTCTTTTTCTGTATTGAGCTGGCTGCAGAATGCATCATGTATTTTTGTGAGCTTTTTGTAAAGTTTCTGAGAAAGTAGTCCTTCTTTTGTATTTGTGCAATTTTGAATTTATTCTCCTTGAGCCTAGAGGAGACACTAGAGCTGAAGGTCACTCAGGCTGGAGCTTGACTTGGGTCCTTGATGTCCTCAGGAAGACTACTTAGTGTTCACTTGATGGAGAAACTGGATAGCTCATAAAAAAGAGAGCTACTAGGTCATTTCCTTTAAAGTGAGTCTCTTCACAATGAGAGAAAGAGAGAGAGATTTGATTTAATCTTTATTCAGACCCTTCATCAAGTTGAATTCATAAACAGGCAGTTTCTTTCTTGGAAGTTCTTGTTTAAATATTCACAGAGGTGTAAGTGAGGTGAATGGGGGCACAGTCTTGGCAGTTGCCCTGTCGGAACCACAGTGTCGTGCTTTTTGGGAGCTGGGCAGTGCAGGGAGCTGGTGTCGCACCCTGTAAGGTTTGGTGAGCTTGATCAGATAGTTTATGAGAACTGAGCATAGGAGAGGGGTGGACTGATATTTTTTTCTGTAGGAATTCCTAAGTAAAATGATTCTGATGAGGCTAAGTAACCCAAGGCATGCTTTTTCATGCTTTTTAGTCTCTGCTATATCTATACTGCAACAATTCAATGGCTTGGACACTGGTATTACCAGCCGTGATTTTCTGTTATTTTTTTTAAGGGTTTGGTCAGCAGAAGTGTATCAGTCGGGGCACCTAGGCTCTCACTCACAGTGTGTGTTAAGGAAAATACCAGAGCTGCTGACTCAGCCGCTGCCTGTGCAGCTCTCGCTTAAAGCTTTTGTGAATATTGTGGACTTGAGACTAGTAAAACTGGCTTGCATCTTGCAGGCAGATTCTCTCTCCTAAAGCCTGGCGTGAACTCTGTTAGTCACTGATTGTGTTGGTTGTCACACTGACTACCAATTACTGGCTACTGATTACTGAATGCTTGCCTCTACAAATCATCTCTGTCCTCTCTAATTCTCATAGTAAGTTTAACATAGATACAAAAATATAGATCCAAAGAGAGGGTAACTTTTTCATATCTTTGCCAATCTGTGATGCCTTTGGGATGGAGCAGTGAGAAGAAACATGAGTCAGAACAAGGGTGGGAAGTTTTGCCATGCAGCCAGTGCCTGCCGCTGTGACCGAGCTCCCACGTGAAATTGGCTGAAGCTGCTGCTAAGACCACTCTGGCAGCCCTGTGAGTCTCAGATCACCTCCTTGATTCTTTCTCCTCCTTCTTTAAAGATGTATATTTGTAAGGCAGATTTATGGAGAGAGGAGGAGAGATGGAGAATCTTCCATCTGCTGGTTCACTTTCCAAGTGGCTGCAATGGCCAGGACTGGGACAAGACGAAGCAGGAGCCTAGAGCTTCTTCTGGGTCTCCCGCGTGGGTCTAGGGAGGGCCCAGGCACATGGGCCATCTTGCACTGTTTTCCTTGGCATGTTAACAGGGAACTTTATCAAAAGTGAAGCAGCTGGGATTCGAACCAGTGCCCATGTGGGATGCCAGGGTCTCAGGCAGAGGCTTACCCTGTTAGGTCACAGTGCTGGCCCTGACTTGTATAGGGAAGTCTGAACCACCATGCTTCATATCCCTGTTTATTCAGTCGCTGTTGAGCATCTGTTTCTTGGCCTTCCCAGTATTTACTGTGTCACCACTCTCTTCGACCCCCTGAAGCCCTTCCACCTTGTTTTTGGCCATTTCTTCATTATCAGCCACCCCTACGTAGGGTCAATATGAGCATGCTCCAGTTAACAGCCACAGCAGTGGCAGTGTTGGCGCTTGGTCTCCACATTTATGATGTAAATGAAGCCTCTGGCTTGATGGTAGCAGTCGTGGTGTGCGTCAGTTCCTGGTGCTTGTAGCTGTGTGGCCCGGAGCAGGTGTCCTGCCTCAAAGGCCACCTCATAATTCGTTATGTGAATTGTTTTTCTCTTTAATCCAGCAGGAGTTGACTTCTGCTGCTTGCAGAATTTTGAGCCATGCAGTGTTCAAAGCTAACCAGCTTCCTTCTTAGTTTCTAGCACCTATGGAGCTCAGAGTTATTAAGGAAAATCAGACAGGTCAATATTGCCATAATGATCATCATACTGGTTATCACATTGATCATCAACCTCTCTTGCATAATCTACATTACCTAACAGTGTTACACATTTTTCTAATAAACTCACTTTCCCATTCATTGTGATGACTATTACTGTGTTTCTAATCTCTCTTTTTTTAAAGATTTTTTTAAAAGATTTTTATTGGAGAGTCAGACTTACAGGAGGAGAGACAGAAAGAAAGATCTTTCATCCGACGATTCACTCCCCAAGTGGCTGCAACAGCCAGAGCTATACCGACTGAACTTAGGAACAAGGAGCTTCTTCCAGGTCTCCCATGCTGGTGCAAGGTCCCAAGGCTTTGGACTGTCCTCCACTGCTTTCCCAGGCCACAGGCAGGGAGCTGGATGGGAAGTGGAGCAGCCAGGACACAAACCAGCGTCATCTGGGATCCCAGTGTATGCAAGGCGAGGATTCAGCCACTAGCCTGTTGCGCCTGGATCCTGTTTCTCATCTTACATGTACATACTCTTTTTTTTTATTTTTTAGTAACCATTTGACACTTACATACATCTTTTTTCTTCTTCCCTCCTGCTACAATCAAAGCTGTGTGTCCTTTATCTCGTCAAAGGCCGGACCCTTCACAGGTGCTCCATCAATGGCCTCTCCTGCCTGACAGGATTTTCTCCTAAGGCTGGTGCTGTGTTGCTGCAGGTTAGGCCTCGGCCTGTGGCATGAGCCTCCTCATTTAGGTGCTGATTCAAATGCTGGCTACTCCACTTCTGTTCCTGATAATGCAGCTGGAAAACACCTAGGTGGTTCAAGTGTTTGGGCTCCTGCACCTGCATGAGAGACCTGGAAGAAGCTCCTGGTTTTGAGCACTGCAGCCATGTGGGGGTGAGCCAGCAGATGGAAGGTCTCTCTGCTTGTCTCCTCCTCTCATAATGCCTTTCACAGAAATAAACCTTTTCTTTCTCTCTCTCTCTCTTTTTTTGTTAAAGATTTTATTTCTCTATTTGCTCTCTCATACATCTCTTCCGTCACTACCCAAACTGCACCGCCTTCTACCGTTTTGAAAACCCTGTCATTCAAATGGCGTATTTTCTTACTGCTGTTTTTCTTCTTTTCTTTCAGCCAGGCTTTTTTTTTTCTTTTTAAATTTATTATAGCTAGGCTTCTTAAAGGATTTTCCTGCAAATACTATGTAAGGGTTTTATATTTTTTAAGGTTTATTTATTTATTTATTTTATTGGAAAGGCAGGTTACAGAGAGAGAAGAAGAGACAGAAAGGAAGATCTTCCATCTGCTGGTTCACTCCCCAACTGGCTGCAACCGTTAGAACTGAGGTGATCCAGAGCCAGGAGCTTCTTCTGTGTCTCCCACTTGGGTGCAGGTTCTTAAGACATTGGGCCTTCCTCCACTGCTTTCCCAGATGGCAAGCAGGGAACTGGAAGGGAAACGGAGCAACCGGGACATAAACTGCCTCCCACACAGGATCCTGGTGCATGTAAGACGAGGATTCCGTCACTGAGCCGTTGCGCCGGCCCTACTTTTTCTTTTTCTCTCTTTTTTCCCTTTAAAAGATTTATTTTTATTACAAAGGCAGATTTATAGAGAGAAGGATCTACCATCTGCGCTCCCCAATTGGTTGCAATAGCTGGACCTGAGCTGATTAGAAGTCAGGAGCCAGGATGTTCTTCTGGGTCTCCCTCGCAGGTGCAGGGTTCCAAGATTTTGGGGCATCCTCTACTGCTTTTCCAGGTTGTAAGCAGGGAGCTGGAAGAGAAGTGGAGCAGCTGGGATGTGAACTGGTGCTCAGTTGGGTGAGGATTTAGTCATTGAGCCATCGTGTTGGACTTGTATACTTTTTTCTTGTGAACTCATAATCTACTCTTATTTCATGTTCTGCTTAACCAAACCCATCATCTTTTGAGACCTTGTAGCAGCCTTGGACCCCACACTTGTGAAACAGCAGCCTCCTTCCTTGCAGTGTTCTTTACTGCTTTCCTGCTATTTTTCTGGCTGCTCCTTTTTCACTCTCACTGTCTGTGCTTGGCCTTGGGCCCTTGGCTCTTTTTCTGCTTGAGTCATCCACACCTTCCTACGCCCCTAAGCATCGTCTACACGCCAACAACTCCCATAGTGATTTCTTTAGCATGCCAATCTTAGTGTGTTCAATTATCTGCTTAGAGTAAAACTTCAAAACTTTCATGTCAAAACATGAATTATTTTTATGTCAAATTCTCAAAATATGTTGTCCTCCTTAGTTAAATGGCATTTCCGTTCTTTTTCTTTTCTCATAAAGTTTTAGTTACACAAGTAATATTTGATCTACTCTTACAAAATAATTGGATCTGGTGAGGCGGACTCCTTAGCTTGGCTCACAGCCAATCTCATTGTCCTCTCCAGAGGTGGCCTCTGTGATGGATTTGTTTATCTTTCTATGCTTATTTCTATGAGTTTACATTTGTAACTGTAGTTTTACAGGTTATATGTAGATAAAAGCATAATATATATACATTTTTCGTTTATAAAAATAGTAGATCTTGGACATCCTTCTGCATCATTTTATATAGATTTACTTTGTTCCTTTTTTCTGCTATATTGATTTCCAAAATCTGTCACCAACTGCGGCATTTGGTTGGACATTTGGCTCAGCCATTAAAATGGCTGTATCTGGGGCTGGAATGATGCCCCAGTTGGCTAATCCTCTGCCTGCATGTGTTAGCATCTTATATGAATGCTGGTTCAGGTCCTGCTGCTCCACTTCCCATCCAGCTCCCTGCTTGTGGCCTGGAAAATCAGTCGAGGATGGCCCAAAGCCTTGGGACCCTGTTCTGGGAGAGACAGAGGGTGCTCCTGGTACCTGGCTTTGGTATTGGGCTAGCTTTGGCTCTGGCGGCCACTTGGGGAGTGAACCGGTGGACAGAAGATCTTCCTCTTAGTCTTTCTTTGTCTCTGTAATCTACCTCTCCAATGGAAATACATAGATCTTTAAAAAAGTGAAGTTGGCTGCACCTTATCTCAGAGTACTGGATTTTAATTCCCAGCTCCCACTCCTAACTTAATCCTAAGCCTCCTAATAGTGTAGACCAGAGGAGGCCACACTGATGGCTCAAGTCAACGCGTCACTCCACCTCTTCCCCATCCCTGCCTGCTGGAGAGACCTAGAGTAGTTCCAGCTCTAGTCTGGGTGTGACCCAGCTCTAGAAGATGTGGGCATTTGGGGAGTGAACTAGGCACTGGAAGCCCTCTCTTCACATGATTTAAGAAAATAAACCAAACACATTTTTCTGTTCATACATAATTGACTTTACTTTTTCTTTATATATATTGCAGTAACAATTTATGCATTCTCTGTGTATGTGTGTGTGTATATATATAGTAATATTTCCATATATTTATGTATGTATTTCCCTGGGATAGCTCTCTAAAAGTAGGATTTGAGTGCTTAAAGTTATCTGTATTTTAAAATTCACACATGTTGCCGTGTTGCCAAACAAATTGTATTACCCGGGCCCAGTGTGGTAACCTAGGGGCTAAAGTCCTTGCCTTACATGCACCAGGACCCCATATGAGCGCCGGTTCTAATCCTGGCAGCCCCGTTTCCCATCCAGCTCCCTGCCTGTGGCCTGGGAAAGCAGTGGAGGACAGTCCAAAGCCTTGGGACCTTGCACCAGCATGGGAAACCCAGAAGAAGTTCCTGACTCCTGAGTTCGGTTCAGCATAGTTCCTGCTGTTGTGGCCACTTGGGGAGTGAATCATCGGATGGAAGATCTTCCTCTCTGTAAATCTGACTTTCCAATAAAAATAAATAAATCATTTAAAAAAAGCAAAAAACCAAATTGTATTACCTTACATGTTGCTAAACAAATCCTTTCATCACACTTATAATGAGGCTAGGAATATTTTTATGTTCATATTGACAATTTAGAGTCTTTTTTTTGTAACTAATATTTTTACTAGTAATCGTTTGTTTGTTTAGGAATATTAGAGGCCAGCTACTGGGGATACATCAGTGAACTAAAGAGATCAAAGCTCTCCTTTGGACTGTGTATCCATGTTGGTTTGGATTTCTCATTACACTGAGTACTTTGCATATGTTGGTTATATATTTTCCTCTATATTTTTTATACTGTTTTTCCTACTGTTTTGTTTATGATTTAAGAAATTTACCCAGTCACACAATTCTTCTTCTTTTTGGCTTAAACACTTTGTACCTTAAAATGACTTTTCCTTCTTCAGTTTTATGAACAAATTCCTCTTTATTTTATTATGTCTGTATTTGTTCTATTTTTGTCTTCAACCTATTTGCATTTTATTTTTGTTTGTAATTAATCAGGAGATTATTTGTAATGTAAGATAGCTTTGTTTGTCCCCAAATAAAGTGCAGTGTTTTACCTTTTCCTGGTTTGTTATTTGATTCTTTTTTTTTTTTTTAATTTGTGTTTCTGGTTTTACTTAACTTTTCAGTGTACACATAAAAGTAAATTTTGATAGTAAAGCATGTTTATTATTAAGATATCCATGCTCATTTGGAGAAAATGACTAAAAATTACTATCGTAGTGCTACTAATTTAGTGCTTATATACCTTGTTACTCATAGAAACATTTGTTATTTTATCCCATGACCTATGCTGGACTGCATTCTAGAAGAAAATAACTTTACTGCTTTGGGATGCTTGTTTAATAATCTTCTCCAATGCATTGTTAGCTTCTTTTGTGCAAAAAAAAAAAAATCTTTTATGTGCCAAATACTACTAAGAGCTGGAATTATGGAATCAGCAAGATAGCGTTCTTTCTATCAAGGGTAACAAATGTGTGTGTGGAAATCAGCAAGTGTATTCTCTGGCTTGGTAAGAGCAATCCTGAAGGCAAGAGTTCCCTGTGGAAGTGCAAGTGTATCCCCCTTGGGAAAGTCATGGACCCAGCAGGTATCAAAATGGAGCAGGATCTTTGTGAGGTTTCTTTATTCTAGATTTGCAAGTTTAGAACTTAAAATTTTAATCATTTACCTCTTAAAACTGGCTCTTAACAAAACAAATTTCAAGAGAGTCCTATTTAAGACAAACTTACCTGTAGATAGCACTCAAGCTGAAAATCTACATGGGAGGTCAGCGACCCCCGTGGAGGATCAGCGACCCCCGTGGAGGATCAGCGACCCCAGTGGAGGTTCAGCGGCCCACGTGGGAGGCCAGCCACCCCCGTGGAGGGTCAGCGACCCACATGGGGGGTCAGCCACCCACGTGGGGGGGGTCAGCGTCTTGTCAGTATGTTGTTTAGACCCAGGAGCATTGAAGCTTGTTAGAAACAATCTTGAGACCAATGCTGTGGCATAGCAAGTTAAGCTGTCACCTGCAGGATTGGTGTTTTTCAAGTCCCGCTCTTGCACTTCCAATCCAACTCCTTGCTAATGCATCTTGGAAAACAGTGGAGGATTGGGTCAAGTCCCTGGACCCTTGCACCCAGGTGGGAGACCAGAAAGAAGCTCATTGGTGCTGACCTGAGCCTGGCCCAACTCTGGCTATTGGCCATTTGGGGAGTCTCCTCTCTAACTGAGCTTTTCAAAAGAGAAAAATTTAAGACGTTTTAAATTTAAAAAATGAAAACTTTTAGGTAACACTAGTTCTGTAGCATATACTGGTCATAGCCTTAGTTTACTTATTGTTTGTTTTAAGGATGGCTTTTTTTTAGGATTTATTTATTGTTATTGGAAAGTCAGATTTACAGTGAGAAGACTGAGAGAAAGATCTTCCACCCACTGGTTTACTTCCTAAGTGGCTGCAACGGCCTGAGCTGAGTTAATCCAAAGTCAGGAGCCAGGAGCTTCCTCCAGGTCTCCCGTGCAGGGGCAGGGTCCCAAGTCTTTGAACCGTCCTTGACTGTTTTCTCAGGCAGGGAACTGGATGGGAAGTGGCGCTGCCGGGATACAAACCAGTACCCATATGTGATCCCGCACATGCAAGATGAGGACTTTAGACACTACTAGGCTACTGTGCCAGGCCCAAGTATAATTATTATTTTTTAAATTGTGTGACAGGGTGGCAAGGATGTAGACGGGTATCTTGGACTTACTCATCTACTTCCCAAATGGCTACTAGTGCCAGGTCTGGCCTAGACTGAAGGCAGGGGGTGGAAACTTCGTCCGCATCTCGCCCGTAAGTGGCAGTGGCCCAAGCCTGTTCTGCTTTCCCAGGCACATCAGTAGGAAGCTGGAGTGGAAACACAACAGCTTGGACTTGAATTTGCAGTCTGATAAGGCATGCCAATATTGCCACGTGTCAGTTTCTTGTGACACAATGTTGGTCCCGATTCATTTATTTATATTTTCATCTACTTAAACCAGTAGGTGAAGGTGAAGTCAGGAAGCTGGAACTCCATCTGGGTCTCCTGTGTGAATGGCAGTGGTCCAAGCACTTGAGCCGTTACCCTCTGTCTCCCAGGATGCTGGGTTGGCAGTGGAGATGTGAAGACCTGAACCTTCACCCTGTGTTTATTTATAAACAGTTTGCTGTCAAACCATATTCAGTGTTACACCAGCAGCAGCTGCCAACAGCCTGAGTCCACCGCCTCTTGATTGTATCAAGGTTCGTGTGGCAGGACTGCCTTCCTGGGTACCACTTGGGCTGTGTGACTGTGTTCCGTGATGTCCGCACATCGACAGAATCATCTGTGACACAGTCCTCAAAGCACATCCCTTTGTTAAGTGACCCGTGATTGCATTTGTATGTCCACACACTACCGCGTAGCTAATGCTTCCAACAGCGATTTGCGTGGAACCTGAGTGCTGATCGCCATAGTTATTTTGAGGAGAACAGACAAGGTTCCTCTGTCGGGTGCTTTGAACTGAGCCAGAAAATGAAGCGGAAACAGGTCTGCTCTTGGACCTGCAGAACAGTGGATGCTTCAAAAGCCAATTTGGTTCCAGTTCCTGTTTCTGGAACTGCTTGTTCCTGGGCATAGTTTTCAGTTTAATGTCCTTGCTATGCTTTGGAGGAGAAGTTATTCCCTTGTTTTTTTCTCTCAGGAGCTTGCATTCCTAAATTGCTGGTTAGAGTTCCATGCTCCATTCCCCTTGACGTTAATTAATGCACTCCATGGTATGCATGACTCACATAAATTCGCCCAGGATTGAGAGACCCAGAAACATTACACCTGTGTGGAAGGACTCATGCTGCGCTTTCCTGGGCGTGTGGCTCTGAGGAATGCAGAGGAAAGATTACGGTAAAGCCATCAGGTACTTCCCCCCCCCCCCCCACCTGTCAGATCATTCATAGTACAAGCGTGCCTGAAAAGTTGTGATGTGGGGCCTGCTGCATTGGTTCAGTTGGATAATCCTAACCCTGCAAGCACTGGGATCTCATAGCTGCTGGTTCATGTCCTTCATGTCCCAGCTACTCCACTTCCCATCCAGTTCCCTGCCTGTGGCCTGGGAAAGCAGTTGAGGAAGGCCCAAAGCCTTGGGACCCTGCACCCACGTGGGAGGCCCAAAAGAAGCTCCTGGCTTCAGATGGGCTACACATTTGCACAACTTTGCCCACTGGGGAGTGAACGAATGGATGGAAGATTTTTCTATCTTCTTTTCTCTGTAAATCTGCTTTTCCAATAAAAATAAATAACTCTTTAAAAAAATTCTCTTTCCTCTCTGTTTCTCTGCCTTTCAGGTTAATAAAGACTTAAACAGAACAGCAAATATAAGTTCCTAAAAGATAGATGTTTTTCTCTCGCTGCTTTATGTGTATTTCATTTGACCACGAGTGAGAGAGTTGCGAAACGAGCCCAATAGAACAAATGCTATTTTACAAGATTTTCCTGAGGCTTTTTTTTTTTTTTTTTTTGAAGCTACAAAGCCCGATTGTTGGCTCAGTGTGTTGTTTCCCTGCTGCGATGTGTCTTATCCTTTGTCGGCTGTAGTTCATGAACAGCAGCAGTGGATTCCCATGGCTGGGTGCTGGCAGTCCAAGCTTGGGGTCGGAGTCGGCTGGTCCGTGCCTGCTAAGGCAGAGACAGAACAGTTCTCTCACTGTCCTCCTCAGGAGGGGAGTTTTGGGACCGTGTTTCCAGGAGCATGAAAATCATTCATGAGGTCAGCACCCTCATGACCTGATCACCCACAAAGGCCCACCTGCGAACACATCACAGGGGAATAGATGTCAGTTTACGGATTTGGGGGATTGAATATTCATAAGCACTGAATGTATGATAACAAAGCAATCCACCTTATTTTTTTTAAGATTTATTTATTTTTATTGGAATGTCAGATATAGAGAGAGGAAGAGAGACAGAAAGGAAGATCTTCCATCCAATGATTCACTCCCCAAGTGGCTGCAAGTGCCAGAGCTGAGCTGATCTGAAGCCAGGATCCAGGAATTTCTTCCGGATCTCCCACACGGGTGCAGGGTCCCAAGGCTTTGGGCTGTCCTCGACTGCTTTCCCAGGGCACAAGTAGCGAGCTCGATGGGAAGTGGAGCTGCTGGGACGTGAACTGGCACCCATATGGGATCCTGGCACTGGGAGGCAGAGGATTAGCCAGTTGAACCATCATCCCAAACCCAGCTTTTCCCATTTAAGAGACACAGGTGATGGGTATTTGGGGATTCAGACTCCTGGAGCCCCAGCCTGACCTGGAAATGAAAGGGCATTGTATGAAGGTCGGGGTTTTGCCAAGATGTAGCAGAGGAGCAAACAATGCTCTTCTTAGAACACTTATAAATATGAATTAGTTCTTACAGTACCACTGTGGTGAGCAGTTATAGTTTACTAGTGGAAAGGAGGAATAAAATGAAATTCAGTTCATCTGCTCAGTGTCGTTAAGCTCTCTTTGTAGCACTTGTCCAAGGCTCTAGAGAAGACTGCTGAAAATATGAAAAAGGCCAACACAACCACCACCACTGCATTTTGCCAAGACAGCATTTATTTTTTTCGTTTCTATAAAAATAAGTAATTTGAATTTTAAAAATTGTAATAGGGCCTGGTGCTGTGACCTAGCAGTAAAGTTTTCACCTTGCATGTGCCAGGATCCCATATGGGCACAGGTTCTAATCCCTGCAGCCTCACTTCCCATCCAGCTCCCTGTTAGTGGCCTGGGAGAGCAGTTGAGGATGGCCCAAAGCCTTGGGACCCTGCACCTGCGTACGAGACCCAGAAGAATTTCCTGGCTCCTAGCTTTGGATCGGCACAGCTGCAGCCATTGCAGCCTCTTGGGGAGTGAATCATTGGATGGAAGATCTTCCTCTCTGTCTCTCCTCCTCTCTGCATATCTGATTTTGCAATAAAAATAAATAAATATGAAAAAATTGTAATACAGAAATATTTTTAAAAATCAGGGCTAGTATTATAGTATAACAGGTTTTGCTGCTCCTTACACAGCAGCATCTATTGTGGGTGGTGGTTCAAGACCTGTCTGCTCCACTTCTAATCCAGCTCCCTGTTAATACGCCTGGGAAAGCAGCGGAAGATGGTCCAGTGCAACAGTACCTACCACCTGTGAGAGAGACTGGGAAGAAGCTTTGGGATCCTGGCCATTTGGAGACTAAACCAGCAGATGGAAGATCTCTCTTTATCTCCACCCGATCTCTCCCATTTTGTAATTCTATAAAATAAAAGGTAAATCTTAAAAATATGTATTTATTTGAAAGGCAAAGAGGTACAGAGCTCTTTCATCCACTGCTTCCCCAAGTGCCTGCAAAGGCTAAGGCTGAATCAGACCAAAGTCAGGAGCCTGGAACTCCCTCTGTGTCTTCTGCGTGTCATGCCCCAAGGTGCAGGTTAGCAGAGAACTCGAATCAGAAATGGAATAGGACCTGGAACCCAGCTATCCAGTATGCCATGCAGGCCCCTGAGTGTGCCTACCATGTGGAAAATTCCTGCCCAGTAATACATGCATTGTTAAGAAGAGAGAAGAATGCAATCTTCAACGTGTACTTATTTAAGTTTTAATATTTGGTGAATTTTCAAAAAAAGTGGAAAGTTAAAATTAAAGGAACAAACTGGTGTTTTATAATTACATGCTTTCTGCTTAAATGTTATAGTTTAGTTGAAACAAATGCAAGGTAAGAAACTGAATGAGAGAAAAAAATAAATGCATTGAGATTGGTAACTGCACCAATTAGTTAATGAAATACAAATAAAATCCCTAAAGTTCATTTAATTGATCTTTAAAAAGGT